GAAACAGAACTCCGGCATCTCTGGCCCGACCTTGCCGGGACCTTGCCGGGGACTTGCCGGGACCTTGCCGGGGTACTTTTCGTCCGGGGACCCCCAGGGGCCGCCCCGCGCGCGCGAATTAGAAATATTGTGAACCAGGTACCGGAGATCTTAGCACGCCCTGGCCCGTTGGGCCGGCGAATTATGACGAATATGCGCGCCGCTGAATCGAGAGAAGCGTTTCCGTCGGCGTAAAGGTTGGAGTTATTCCCAACCCTCCTGCGTTGGGTTCTCGTTTTGAATAGAGCAGTGCGGTCGCGTCTCCTCCTTCTCCTCCTCCTTCCCGCCTCGTTCCTCCTTTCCTCTTCCCCCCTGCATCTCACCTTGCTCGTCGCCGCGTGTCAGCTTGCCTCCTGCCTGGTCATCCCTGTGCGGGGCTGCGATTTGCGGAACTGTCGCCACTTTCGAGGGCTGCTGGGGGGCCCAGCGGAGTGGGGTCATACTCAGACCAAGATTAGACCTCGCCATCGCTGGGGGGGCTGCGATCTGTGAAACTGTCGCCACTTTCGAGGGCTGCTGGTGGGTCCAGCGGAGCGAGGCACCACGGGGATTCAGATTAGACCTCGCCATTTGTGGGGGCTGCGATCTGTGAAACTGTCGCCACTTTCGAGGGCTGCTGGTGGGTCCAGCGAAGTGAGGCACCACGGGGATTCAGATTAGACCTCGCCATCTCTGGGGTGGCTGCGATCTGTGAAACTGCCGCCACTTTCGAGGGCTGCTGGTGGTCCAGCGGAGTGAGGCACCACGGGGATTCAGATTAGACCTCGCCATCCCTGGGGGCTGGGGGGCTGCGATCTGTGAAACTGTCGCCACTTTTGAGGGCTGCCGGTGGGTCCAGCGGAGTGAGGCACCACGGGGATTCAGAGTAGACCTCGCCATCTCTGGGGGGGGGCTGCGATCTGAAAATGTCGCCACTTTCGAGGGCTGCTGGTGGGTCCAGCGGAGTAAGGCACCACGGGGATTCAGATTAGACATCGCCATTGGTGGGGGGCTGCGATCTGTGAAACTGTCGCTCGCCACTTTCGAGGGCTGCTGGTGGGTCCAGCGGAGTGAGGCACCACGGGGATTCAGATTAGACCTCGCCATCGCTGGGGGGGCTGCGATCTCTGAAACTGTCGCCACTTTCGAGGGCTGCTGGTGGGTCCAGCGGAGTGAGGCACCACGGGGATTCAGATTAGACCTCGCCATCTCTGGGGGGCTGCGATCTGTGAAACTGTCGCCACTTTCGAGGGCTGCTGGTGGGTCCAGCGGAGTGAGGCACCACGGGGATTCAGATTAGACCTCGCCATCTCTGGGGGGTGGCTGCGATCTGTGAAACTGTCACCACTTTCGAGGGCTGCTGGTGGGTCCAGCGGAGTAAGGCACCACGGGGATTCAGATTAGACCTCGCCATCTGTGGGGGGCTGCGATCTGTGAAACTGTCGCCACTTTCGAGGGCTGCTGGTGGGTCCAGCGGAGTGAGGCACCACGGGGATTCAGATTAGACCTCGCCATCTCTGGGGGGCTGCGATCTGTGAAACTGTCGCCACTTTCGAGGACTGCTGGTGGGTCCAGCGGAGTGAGGCACCACGGGGACGGGGACTCCGATTAGACCTCGCCATCCCTGGGGGGGCTGCGATCCGTGACACCGTCGCCACTTTCGAGGGCTGCTGGGGGGCCCAGCGGAGTGAGGCACCACGGGGACTCAGATTAGACCTCGCCATCTGTGGGGGGCTGCGATCTGTGATGTGAAACCGTCGCCGCTTTCGAGGGCTGCTGGGGGGCCCAGTGGAGTGAGGCCCCACGGGGACTCAGATTAGACCTCTCCATCTCTGGGGGGCTGCGATCTGCGAAATTGTCGCCACTTCCGAGGGCTGCTGGGGTGACCAGCGGAGTGAGCCCCCACGGGGACTCAGGTTAGACCTCGCCATCGCTGGGAGGGGCTGCGATTTGCGAAATTGTCGCCAGTTTCGAGGGCTGCTGGGGGGGGCAGCGGAGTGGGGTACTCAGATTCGACCTCGCCATTCCTGGGGGACTGCCATTTGCGAAACCGTCGCCACTTTCGATGGCTGCTGGGGGGCCAGCGGAGTGGGTCCTACGCAGACTCAGTCTCGACTTCGCCATCCCCGAAGGGCTGCGATCTGCAAAACTGTCGCCACTTTCGAGGACTGCTGGAGGGCCCAGCGGAGTGGGGACATATTCGGATTCAGATTAGCCCTTGCCATCCTTGGGGGGCTGCGATCTGCGAAACTGTCACCACTTTCGAGGGCTGCTGGGTGGCCCAGCGGAGTGACGTCATACGCGAGCCTGGGGCTTTAATCCTCGTTCTTTCGATCGTCGTCCTGTGAGCCGTGCAATGCGTGCGCATCCCATGTAGTTTGCACAGCAATTCACATCGCCTACATGATCGTTGTTCATGCTAATGTTGGCCTACTCCTCTTGCCGCTTGATGCACGTGGGTTGGGTACGTCGCAGGGCATTTTTTATTTTGACCCAGGATCGATCACAATTGCGCTGCGCCCGAGGGGTGCGACAGAGGTGAACGAAGGGTCACGGAAGAGTCCCGCAGGGGGGACGGGGAGCCCGAGACCGCTTGGTCAAGACGGAGCGGTGTCGGGCAGAAGGTTCGCCTGAGAGTCGCGCGCAGCGGTCGGCCGTGAACGTCGACGACGACGATGACGACGACGTGCGAAACGGGCACCAGAGTGGGCCGTTCCGACCAGGCGGGAGCACGGAGGCATTGAGGCGGGAGCACGACCGCGTGCACATTGGTGCGTTTGACAAGGGAGCTTGGCTGTCTGAGCAAAACATGTGGCCAACATCATGGCGAGAGCACAAGTAAAGTGTGAGGACGGTCTGATTTGGGGCGAGGGTCTCCTTGGAGCTGTCTTGGAGGGTCTGGGGGTTCTGGGCAAAAGGCCGCCCTTTCATGGCTGGTCTTGGGGGGTGACAATTTCTTGGCTGGAAGGGTCTTACCCCCTCCACTTTCTAACACAATTCGGAGACCATGTTTGGCCTGGACGGCCATCATCCTTTGAAGAATCACGCCGGCCGACGGACCACACATCATAATCTCTGAAGTGGTCATAAGACTCGTCATCACCAACGAGTATCACTGGCGATAATGCCTGGATGCCAGAATACCTTCATGCGACCTGGAGGACCTGTGAGACCTATGGGGCCCGTGGGGCTGTGCGTCCTGCGAGGTTTGGACCTGTGGGGATTGGGCCTAGTGAAACAAATTTGACTTGCGGAATGTGTGGGATCTGTGGGACTTGTGGTGTTTTCGGGCATTGTGGGACCGCTGGGAACCGTCGAACTAATAATGGGACTTGTGGGGTCTTTGGGACCTGCGGGGCTTGTGGGACCCTATGGGGCTTGTGCGGTCCGCGGAACCTGTGGGGCCTGTGGGACTTGTGGGACCCGCATGACCTGCGGGCCTTGTGGGACCTGTAGGGCCCTGGGAAGTTTTCAGGATGTGGGACCTGAGAGGTCTGTGGCGCCCGTGGGAGTGCTTGTTAGAATTGTGGGGGCACGTGAGGCCTGTGGGTGTTGTGTGACCTACGGGGCCTGAGGGGCGTGTGGGACCCGAGGGGGCCTTGGACTTTGTGGTACCTGCGGGACCTCTGAGACTTGTGGGGCCTGTGGAAACTATGGGACCCGTTGGACCTGCGGGGCCTGTGCGACCTGTGGGACCTGCAAGGCACGTGGAACCAGTGCGACCTGTGCGACGTATGCGACTTGTGAGACCTCTGAGATCTGTGAGACATGTGGGATTTGTGCGTATTGCGAGGCTATTTTTGGCCAGAGCGGTCTGCGGAACTTGTTGGACTTGTTCGGCCTGTGGGTCTTGTGGGTCATGTGTAACAGGTTTGCCCGATGGGTCCTATGATATTTGCGAGGCCCCGCTCGATACCCCCTCGTAATTCCATCACAGACGACGCCCTCCCGCAACACGTCTAAGATTTGTCCACTGGGTGACCGCCTGGGACTGCTAACATGAAGCGGCGGCCCCACGGGGACGGGGGCCCGCCTGGTACCCGCTCGGATCAAACACATGGGGCGGGGGGGCCGCAGGGAGGGCTCTCCCGCTAGGCACTCCTTCGCGGCGTTCAGGGGCTATGCTTGTAACGGTAGGCCGATGGCCCGCTCGGATGAAAAGCATGAGGCGGGGGCCTCAGAGGGAGGAAGTTCCAGCTCGAGACTCCCACGCTGCTCACTCAAAGACGCTACCCCCAATCTGCAAAGACATCCTCACGACATGCTCCCCCTGGGGCGCTCAAGTGCTATGCTTGTTACAGTAGGCCGATGACCCGCTCGGGTTAAACACATGAGGTGGGGGCCCCATATTCGGGCGAAGAGAACTACACACATGCACCGATCCTGGCAAGGCCTATCCTTGACCCAGGATCGGTGCATATGCCTTCCTGGCCAAGGCAGGAGGGCGTATGCACCGATCCTGGGCTCGGGATGGGCCTGGCCAGAATCGGTGCATGTGCATAGTTCTCCTTCCCTCTACATATGGAAGGGAGTCCTGCGATGTATCATCTGCCACCTGGCGGGCCCCCTCTGCAGCCTCGGGGTTACTGGGGGGGTGCGGCGCCTGCTCGGGGACTCACGCGCTCCGAGGACCTCGTCGGGGGCCCGCAGCTGGCCTCACTGGCACCACGGGCGTCTTGGGGGCCTCCTCGGCCGTCGTGGGGCGTTCGTGGAAGCGTCTTACGTAGGCCATATTGGCGGACTCTTTGGTCATCTTGGGGGCTTCCTGTAGGCGACAGAAGTGGGGCCAGATCATTTTGGCCTTTGCGGAGTCGTCTCGGGGCCAAACGTTTTACAAGCTGTTGTACTTGAAGTTGCCTGTTCTCTAGCCCCCAGCCGCCATCATTGACCTCAGGGGCAAACGATGAGGACCTGGGGACAGGGCATGGGAGGCGGAACGGAACAGTTTATGGAGACCTCTCTCGGCCCTTGGCAGCCGAAAGGGGTGGTGGGATTCCGCTTCCGTTATTGTTTGTCAAATTACACGGGATCATGCAAGAAGAGTGGTTATGATATGGCATGTGGCTTCCGAGTGCAGCACGTCGTTGTCTTGCTCAACGTACGTCTTCTGTGATGTACTCGCAGTGCCGAGGTGAAGCGTGGACCATTCGAATGGACGCCCATCCGACCAATCGGTCATATGCTTGAGCCCATTTTAAATATTGACGCGGTCAATATGAGCGTCGATTCAGAATAGCACAAGTGTGCCAGATGTGGATGGAGGAGTAATCGGAAGGCGGGAGCAGCTGGGGGAAGAGCGGGCAGCACCAATTGCTCACACTGTCTGTTGTGTCGTGGCCTGCACGCTGCGCATGGACAAGTTGGGCCTGCGCATGTGACCGGCGGTTTTCCCGGCGTTTCAGCGCACGATGGGTGTATTTCATTCGAACAACAAGAGTTCCCAGTGAGCTCCAACTTTGTCAGCTGAGAAGTGGCGTGTTGCTTCGACAGCAGCAATCGTTTTTGGAATGGCTCTCAGTGGGCTCGAGACTTGCCAGCTGAGAAGCGGCGCGTTGCTTGGAGTGCTTGGTTTTTGGAATGGCCGCCAAGGTCACATGAATACTTCGTGATGTGGTTTGGGGAAAGCATTTGGTTTTCATAGGTTCAGGGGACGGGCACAGCGTGCGAATTCGCGATGCACATCATTGTTTTGTGTGCCGTAGCGAAGGGCTACGGACTACACGTTGCGATCAGAAGGCAGGTACGTTTACCTTGGCGCTTCCAGGTGCATCTCAGTACGACTTTCCAATCCCCCCCTCCAGTTCCTCCTCCTCACGCGTGCGACGGAAGTGCTTCTTGGTTTTTCGCCAGTGTCCACTAGGGGCACATCTGCGTGCTCGCCGCCTCCTGCAAGCTCTACTAAGGGAAACAGGAGGAGCCTCCAAAACGTCTTCGGGGCGGCTCCGTGAAGTTCGCTGGGAGTCTCCAGGAGTCCTGCAGGGACCCCTGCAGATCCCAGGTGCTCCTAGCGACCTGGAAGTGCAGGAGTAGTTGAGGAGGAAGTTGGCTAGGGGTCTCAATACGGAGGGTGTTCTGTTGTTGGTGCCCGGGGCCGAACGCTAGATCTGTTAGCGTTGAAGGTTGCCGTCGGACGCTGCCACCCTTAATGCTTGTTTCTCGAATTGGCGGCGACGAACAAGGTAGAATGTTGAGAATGACGACGATGGTACTGGAGTGTAGCCCATCACCGCTCCAGCGGTCTAGGCCGGCCAGGGACATCCGCGGTGCTTCAGGAGGTTCCAGGTGGTTCCAAGAGCTTTCGGGTCAGCAGGCATGTTCAGTTTGTGTGCGTTCCGCTTGGCAAGCAGATGGAGGAGGGGGAGGATGTCGAGGAGGGGAGATAAGGGAGGGTGGACGAGAGGACTAAGCAGCAAGGCAATACGGTCGGTAGTCACGTTTGTCACAGACTGGCTTGACGGCTTGACCTAGTGGAAGGGGGACGAGGAGGGGGATGAGGAGAAGGAGGAGGAGGAGGTGGGCAAGGGATGAGGCAGGCATGGCCACCCTTCTGGGCTGGGCTATTGTCCCAAGGTGGCGGCTGGGCTTGGCTTCTCCGCCACAGCGAAGCTTTGCTTCTACTCTGCGCGGGTCCGGAAATAATGATACCGGAGAAAACCCCAATCAGGGCTATAGGGCTAGGGGGTTACAGGGCTATTGAGCTATAGGGCTATTGAGCTATAGGGCTATAGAGTTGTAGGGCGATCGGGCTATTGGGCTATTGGGCTATAGGGCTGTAGGGATATAGGGCTTAGGGCTATAGGGCTATAGGGCACCCCCGGGCACCCCCGGGCACGCCCGGGCACCCGGGCACCTGGGCACCCGGGCACACCCGGGCACCCCCGGGCACCCCCCGGGCACCCCCGGGCACCTCCGGGCACCCGGGCACCCGGGCACCTGGGCACCCGGGCGTGCAGCCAAAATCGGCGACAAACCTAACCTAACCATATGAATCCGCTAGGACCCCTACAGAGGCAAGCTCTGATCGGGGAAGGAGTTCTCGTGCAGCCCCAAAGCTCCGATTGGATGAGCATCTGCGCGCACGCTTAAACGGATCAGGGATCGGTGGATCGGTGGATCTGGCGCGTTGGCGCCAGACTCATGGATCAGGGACGGTGCCCTGATGTGGCCACGGAGCGCGCCGATGCGGTGTACGGGAGCGGGACGCGTCGCTGATCCACACGTTGCTGATCCGTGCTTGCGATGTCTTGATGAAGGGCCGCAGTGGGCCCCGCAGGTGCAACAAGATGGCCGCTGCCCGTCATGCGCCGCAAGCCTTTCTCGGCCACGAGCAGAGAGAGGTAGGGGGAGGGGGGAAGGCTTCCGAGCATCACCCCTGCTTCTTAGAAGGCGCGTGCGCTGTCTATAGATGTAAGGCCGGGGCTTTCTAACAAGTAGCCTCCTTCTAGAAAGCCTTCCCCCACCCTTACCCCCCTCTGCGCCCTGACGACTTTTGGGAGGGGGGTGCCTGAGATCTTGGTGTTGCAGTGTTTTCGCAACCGGCGATATTGCCGGCTCGAACATCACCGCAGAGAGAGGGCGTCTGGGTCTGAGCTGACCAGCGTTTGCATTCCCGGCGCGTGCCGCCGCAAATCGTGGGCGTGACCAGGGTGGGTGGGGTGAGGAACAGGGCGGGGGGGGCCGATCACGGACGTCATCGCGAACGGCGAACACCCACGGGCTCCTCTGGCCCACGCGGCGAGTCCGTGGCCCAGGCCCCTGCCGCCTTGCGCAGGGGGGGGGGGTGCCCTGCGCTTGCGGCGGGCACCCGCGCTGGACGCCTAGTTGCCCCGGGGGCCTGCGAGCGCTCCGCGGGCCAGGCCAGAGGCAGCTGGGGGCGGGTGTTGTTTTGCTGGCACGTTTGCCCGGGTCGACGAGAGAGCAAGAGGCAACTGGGGGCGGGTGCTGCTTTGCTGGCAAGTTTGCCCAGGTCGCAGCGGCAGAAACATACATCTGCGGAGCTCCGTGCGGATTTCTTGTATCGGTGCCGGGCAGGGGGTTCCGGCGCCGATCCCAGACGTCCGCGAAGAGTTTCGAACATGTATGTTTATGCCGCCATGTTTTCTCCAATTGCATGCGGGGGGGGTGAGGGTGTCGGGCGTGGTGAGGCCCGTTAAGGAATCCGGACTTCACGCAAGCCGGAACCCATTTGTACGCCTTTGCGGCCCCAGGCGCTGCTGGAAAAGGCGGCGAGGGGGGGGCCCATGCAAGTAAATTAGCCTGAGTCTCAAGAAAACGGGGTGGGGGTGGGGGGGAAGGCTTCTTGGAAGCACCCCTGCTTCTTAGAAGGCGCCGGCCTTGTCTGTAGATGTAGGGCTGGCGTCTTCAGAGAAGCAGGATCCTTTTCCTTCTCCTCGGACGGGGCTTGGAGCTATGACGAGGGCATATCCGTCTAGAGCGTTTCGGAACGAACCTTGAGCGTTCCGCGGAACGCTCTGAGAAGGCCGCGGCGCCCCAGACAATTATCATGTAGCCTCACCCGATTTTCTCCTCGCCCCAGGTTCGATGCATAGCACCCCAGATCCCAGTCTAGTCTAGTCTACTTCAGTCTACGTCAGTCTAATTTGGTCTACTTTGGACTCCCAGATTCCAGTCTACTTTCGGCGCCTTTCTACTTACAAGTCGAGACGACTCCTGTTCAGGGGGGCCTGAGAAGGCCCGCCCCGTCTCATTTCCCCCCCGGGCGCGTCGCCTAACAAGCTGCTGCGTTCCACGTGCTCCGGTTTCCCCTCAGGTGCACCCCGCACGCGGGTTTTCTGGGCTGGGTTTCTTGCGAGGGTTTTTTTGCCGCCGTTCCTGCATTTTAGGTTTTCTTGGGTTCTCCATGGCGCCAACATCGCAGCGCGGATTTCGCTCGGAAAAAGATAGAGAGGGCCTTGGGGGTCCTGGAGAATTTCGTCCTGGATTTCGAGGTGAATTTCTTGCGGATTGTTTTGGCCAGGAATGAAGACCAGCAACAAAATCCACGCGAAAGTCACTCCGTTTTTCGCTCGCCGCTTCGGGCAAACGTCCACGGAGAAATCCGCTGCAGCACGGCTGCAAGGCCGGTGCAGTGAGGATTCCCAGGTTCCAGTTGGGTTCAGGCGCCTTCCTGCTGCAAGAGTCGAGCGGCTGTCCCCCTTTTCTCTCGTCTTGATGGGGCGAGCGGAAGCCCAAACTGTGCTCACCGCCTTCCCACCTCGTGCTTCGCTCACTGCTTTGGACCGACGGGCATCGTCTTGGACCCCGTCCCCGGCCCTGTCCCCAGCTGGACCCCCACCACTTCAGCGCCCCAGTTGGGAGCACACCCCTCGGAACCGGGAGGAAGGAAGCAGCCTGCATCCCCACTGATGGTGGGTAGATCGGCCAGTGGGGCCCAGGCCACGCCCGTGGGGATAGCAGGAGCGCCACATGCGAGCCCTACCCCACCCTCCCCCCTCACAAATCGTTGGGTGGTGGGGTAGGGTTCGCATGTGGCCTCCTGGATAGGGGCCGGGGAAACGATGCTCCAATTAGCGGGCGGGACACTGCCGCGCGGTGTCGCTCGCGCGGGGCTGGGGCTCCCCGTCGGCCCCGTGTGCTTACGCAATGTCGCTCGCGCGGGGCCAGGGGCGACGGGCGCGCTCAGAGGCCTTACAGTATAAGTGTACCCGGGTTCGTGTGACACGGCGTGGCAGCGAGGCGCCCGTGTGGTTCGGAGCGAATGGGGCTTTGGAGCGGTCCTCAGCGCTGCCTTAAAACAGATTGCCTGGTGGCTGGCGGTCGATGTCCCCGCTGCTTGGGCAACAGCAGATGACAACCTGTAAGACATTGGTGGCATGTTCGGTCAGGACGTGTGCCTCCGTGGTGCGCGCATCTGTTTGATACGTCCTTCTTCGGGCGACGAAATCTATACATATCCACTGCTCCCTGACCATGCCCATCTTGAACCCAGGAGCTGTGTATGCGCCCTCCTGGCCAAGCCAGGAGGGCGTGGCGTATACACCGCTGCGGGGTTGAGGATGGGCCTGGCCTGGGAGCAGTGGATATGTATAGATTTCGTTACCCTACTTCTGCAACATTCAGGGGAGGGGGGGCGCGCCGAGAAAGGCCTGCTAT